GTTTACTCCTCATTCCTTCGTGTTTAAATGCTTTCTCTTCTTTTTAACTCTCACTGGTTCTTCTAGCACTGTTGACATTTTGGGCTAAATAATTGATTTATGTCAGGAGACTGTCCTGTGCATTTTAAGATGATTAGCAGCATCTCTGGCCTCTACCCTCTAGATGCAAATAATATCTCTCATTTGTGACAGCCTAAAGTTTCTCCATACATTAACAAATGTCCCCTGGGGGCAGTATCTGCCATAGTTGACAACTGCTGTTCTAGCCCTATATGATTTTGGTCTCAGCCAAGGAGCCTTCTCTGAATATCCCTGCCTGCTGTGACGTTTTATCTTCTGAATTTTTTGTAGTACATATTGTCTGGATTATACATTTGCCTTGTATTATATTTTGTTATAAATTTCTAATTCATTTTTCTCTTTCTTTCTCAACTTGTGTGTGTCTCTTACTTTCCAATTTCTAGAAGACTGGGACCATGTATTCTACTTTTTTGTTTCTTTGATATTTTGATCAACCCCATGTACTTGTTAGTAGTTTTAAACACAATTAATTGCTTGCATTTTCTCTTATTTTTCCATTTTTTTTATGTGGTGATAATGGGGGTTTTGGAAAGTGGATCTCTCTAAAAAATGTGGAGAACTTTGAAGTATTCAAAAATTTGAGACTCTGTTACTGGTAATTATGAGACTTTCAGACAGTAGAATTAATACCTGTATATTAATAAAAATTGTGTATATACCCTGTAATAACTCTGGAAAATTCAAGACAATTGAGATAATTATAAAAATAAAAGAAGGATATAATTTCTGATCAATGTGTTCGTTATACAAGTCACCAGAAAAATGTATAGCAGGGCAAAATTTTAAAAAAAGTAAACTGAGAAATATAGAAAATGGAAGGATTGTTGAAGTATGAAGGACAAATGATTAGTTCCACAGAGTGAGATGAGCAAAGTAATCAGTGTGTCGGGGTAAATTGTTAGGGATGATGGATGTAGCATCTGGTTAGGAGTGACTTGTGCAAAGCTGAGAAACGTTATATGTGAATGTGGGTAAGTCGAATACAAGTTGGACACAGGGAAGTTGGCTTCTTACTACCAACTAAAGAGAAACATAATTATAAGCATAGTATGTGTTCATTGTAGAAAAGTTTGAAAGTAATGAAATGTATGAATAGAATAAAATTTAGTTACAGTTCTTAATACCAGGAGCTAAATCACTATTTTAGTTAATTTAATTCTCTTAAATTGTATATGGTCTCAGTTTCTCTGTCTAGATATTACTATATGATGGGCCTTTGTGACAGCAAAGGAAGTCAAGCTTTGAGACGATTTCTCTTCTGACGCTCATTTAATTCATGTGGAATCCATCTGCCCAGCTTCTTTACCTTGCCAATTTGTTTCCAGTGGTCCCATGTTGTTGGAATAGTGAGGTCAAACCTTTCTGCTAATTCACATGTAGGTTGACATGGATTTGCTTCCACTACAGCTTTCATCTTGTCATTATCCAACTTAGTGTCAGGTTGCCCACGTGGCCCATTTTCAAGATTAAAATCACCAAAATGGAGCTTCTCAAACCATCCATGTACCATGTGTTCATTGGCCACATCTTTCCCAAACACTTGTTGATATTTTGAGCTTTCTGCATTGCATTGGTTCCATGATGGAACTCATATTAAAAAATAACTTGAATTTTTTACTTATCCATGGTGTCACAAAAATTGCTCTAAAAAACATTTGAAAGATAATCACAAGCCAAAATGTGCATTTGAAAGACTGAGGATGTACCTTTACAATAAACATAAAACAAGAAGCATCAAAGTGAAATGTCAGAGATATCAACTGAGTACTTAAGGAAATCGGACATTTCATACTTAATAACCTATATACACTATAGTGTATTTACATGTATATTTATATAAAACCAGAGTATGTTAGTCTGTTTGTCTTACTACAAAGGAAATACCCAAGGCTGGGTAATTTATAAAGAAGAGATTTTTTTTGGCTCACAGTTCTGCAGACTGTATAAAAAGCATTGTGTCAGAATCTCCTTCTGGTTAGGGCTTCAGGGAGCTTCCAGTCAAGGTGGAAGGTGAAATGGGAGTGCACAGGTCATATGGTGAGAGAGGGAGCAAGAAGGGGAGGAGGTGGTGGCAGGTTCTTTTAAACAGTCAGCTCTAGCCTGAACCAATAAAGTGAGAACTCACTCATTATAATAGGGAGGGCACCAAGCCATTGATGAGGGATTTGCCCCCTATGACTCAAACACCTCTCACCAAGCCCTACATCCAAAACAGGATCAAATTTCAACATAAAATTTGGAGGGGACAAACATTCAGACGATATCAATGGGTTACTATATATGAAATGTTTTATATCCTTTTATTGTTTAATATTATGAACATTTTTTTCATATCAGTAAAACTCTTAGGAGTGATATTTAATGACTACATAGCATTGTATTCTGAGATTATCCCCAAATTTATGTAACCATTCCTCTAGTAAACATTTAAGTTTTCCTTCATTTTTATTAATATAAATATAATTGCAGTAAACCTCTGTAATGAAAATCTTTGATTAAATCTTTCATTTTCTTTGAGGACTTGTAACCTCTACTGTGGCCTGCCTCTTTTGATTTGCCTCACAAAATTTGTTCTGTGTTCCGTAGTACTATTTTGGTAGTGTTGTAGACTATATTTCCTAGTTTTCCAAGTGGTTAAGTGTGAATAATGGACTGTTATGGTTTATGAGATATTAGCTGAAATATACTGTGAAAGATGGGAACAGGGAAGACCTTTCTTCCTTCTTTCTTGTTCCTGTTGCCTGCAATGTTGAATGTATTAGCCAGAATTCCTATAGCTTTCTTGGAATAGGAGGCAACTTTAAATAGAAACAGTATATGGGAGAGCAAAAAGATAGAAGGAACTTGGGCCCCTATACTTGGAGCTGCCATATTAGCCTTTGATTGTCTACTTACTGCTGGATATTTACATGGGGGAAATAAGTTTATTCCCTCTTCCCCCTCTCTCTTGTTGTCATTGTTTGATTATTGTTTTTGGTTTGGGAGGGGTGTGACCTAATCCTAGCTTATAAAAAAAAATCATTGTTTAAAGGCTCCATGTAGTAATGTAATCAGTCCAATATAAGGAAATATGCGTTGTGTCATGGTAGACTGTAGATCCATGTGGAAAACTGAAATCCATGTTGACACTGGAGAGAAATTAATTGGTGTTGAAAGATAAACACTTAAAATGATATAAAAAATACATAAATTCTGGAACTATTTGGTTGTATTGATGAATTTTGTTCTCAGGTGCTTTTAATAATTATAACAAATATTTCAGGGAACACTTGATAGCTTTTAAGCAAAAAACAAAACACTGAGGATTATATCTTATATTGCATCACAATAATCCCTTCCAGCCTTATGAATCTTTAATATTATTAAATATCTTAGCTAGTCACTTTGATGGGATCAGTTCATAAATGTAACTTTTAATGCTCTCATATTAACTTTGAAAAATTTAGATATATGAAATTTAAAAAAAATATTTTTATGAAAATAGATTTACTGTTTTTTAATATTTATTCTAATCAAGAAAGTTGGTCAAAGCTTTGGATAAATAAGTGAAGAATACACATTTAAAAATCAACCAAAATGTTTGTACCCCCATAATATTCTAGAAACAAAAGTTAAAAGGGAAAGAAAAAAAAAATAATTACTATTTGTGCAGTTTTAGGTTTATAGAAAAATTGTGCAGAAAATACAAAGAGTTCCCATATACCTATTCTCCCAAGGAAACATATTTTTCCCCCAGGAATTTCACTATATATGTTATACATAGAGAAAAGACTCTACATCTCTGAACAAAATATATTATTTGATAATAGGAAAACCATACAATACTAAAAATCTTTTTACTGTAACTCACGGTTTCCCACCCTCATCACTAGTAGCACTTTGGACCAGATAATTCTTTGTTGGGGGATACTGTCATGTGCATTGTATTACAGGGTGTTTAGTAGCATCCCTGACCTCTGCCCACTAGATTCCAGTAATACTTCCCAGTCACAACCACCAAAAATGTCTGTAGACCTTACCAGATGTCCCTTGGGGAACAAAATCACCCCAATTGAGAACCATTGCTCTAACCAGTATACTATGTTTTAACATTTTCTGTAGTTTTTTAGGTTGGGCTGAGCTTAGGGGCTGTATATAGTTCATTGAATCTTCACACTGAAGATGTGTAAACAAAGTTTGAGTCTTCCCTGCCTTTTGGGCACTGAATGTAGTATACATAGTTTTACCGAACCTCAGTTTCCTTCATTGCAAAATAGGTAAAATGTTACCTAACTTGAAAGGTGTTGTGAGAATTCATTAAGGTAAATTATATAGAATATTTTGATTAATGTTAGTTTCTTTTTCTTTGAATGTTGTATTGTTTGAATTTATTCCCTTTATTGTGTCAAAAACCTATCACAAAATTCTTATTTCTATGAGAAAGGCCGTCATAGTTTGGGATCTACTATTTATGGATATCAAGAATGCTATACTGTGGGTAGATAAAAACTTTAAATAAATGTTAAATGAAGACTGATTTATGAGGTCGATTATGTTTTGACCCTTTCTGGTGCTCTGATTAGATTGTGACTTGGTTCAAATTTGAACAGTTAAGTGATCTTGCATTCTTTCAAGGACTTTTAGCTTCCCAAATTGAAGATAGCATTAGATGTCAGCCAATCACTTTGTCCTTTGAAGTTTTTGTCTTCATCTCTGAAAGCCAGCCAGTTGTAACAGCTTGTGTGTCAGCTCTAATAGATAAAGTTGGACTCTGCTGGGTTGAACTTAGTCCACTAAAGACTTCTAAAAATTTGACATGGTTTGCAACTAATAATGACCACCTCCCATCATTATTTTTAAAATTGTAAAACAATGTTCACTGATGACATAAATTGCTATTTATAATAATTAAGGTTATTCTTCATGTTCTCCCCTTGCAGAAAATTTCAAGACTTGGTTAAGATAGGAAAACTGTCAGAAAGGCCAAACCACCATAATATTGTAAGTATTTCTTTGAAAAAGAGGTATAAGTTAAGAATATAAGTGTCCATTTGTTTGAGGAAAAATATGTTAGGCAAAGGTATTATATGTAAAATATAGAGGAGGCTATATTATAATCACGTTAATAATTTTTGAGAATTTCAAAATGTGTTCTTATGTATTGAGATGAGGATTTTACCAATAGCATTGAAAAATATTTCTAATTCTAACAAGGATTGATCTAGTTTGTGTAAATTTGCTTATTTAAAGCTATCAGAATCCGGAAAATCATTGTAGTTTTGTAGGTTGTGGTATGTTTGGGTGACTTATTGTTTGGGTTATTTTGCAGAATTATTTATTTGCTGATTTATTTATGTATTTCATTATTTATTTATTTGATTATTTAGTAAATTATTTATCTGATGAATTATTAATACATCTTCATGACATGCTTTCAATTATTTATAACTTAATTTTGAGTTTATTGCTTTTAGAGGCTGCATTGTTACTGACTAGTTTTGATTTTTTTCTTTGTGGTTCTTGAAAATTAAAGTATTAGCTCTAAGGCAAAAGTATATTCATTGCAATGCCCATAGTTTTTTTTTTTTTTTTTGTAATTTACAGTAGAGATAAAATTTTAGTTATGCATTGTTTAGTTTTAAATTTACCTATGTAGAGTTACCAGTGATAGAATGTTTGTGTGTTATGTGCATACTCATTGTAGAGCCCACTTACAAATTCATGATATAGCCTATCATTTGTAAATAGTGATTGAACATGTAAATCTCAGTTTACATTATCCGTTGTATCTCTAAAGGGCAGGTCTGTATTTCTTACTTGCTTTAGAATAAATAATAGATCTGGTTATTTTATTTGAATGGCAAATCTGTTTTGCCACTGGAATATTTTTAGGATAAAGTTCAGAGAAAGGAAGTCCAACTTAGATTTGGATCCCTGAGATATAAATATTACTAATGTAGTCTTTATTCTTTTAAATCCCCATTATATGTGTATTTGGAAAACAGCATGATGTTTATATAGATTTTTATATCACTCATAATGAAATATTTGTTTCATATCATATCTCTTATGGAAAGCTTTATATCATTTTGTTTTAATGAACTACAATGGACAAAGATCTTTATAAACATGAGATAAAGTTTCTTTGACTTTAGCTAATAATTCTTTTATGTAAAGTTTCTATTTTTAACCAAATAAGATCATTTTTTCTTTCTTTTGACTCTATTTCATAACATAGTGCAATTATTAGGGCTGTCTGATTGAATGGGTTTAATGAATAGGTTAAAGTGGGTGAAAGAGTGCCATGTACACAACATTGTCTTTATTTTGTGTGTGCTTGCATGCATTACTATGTACTTTACAGTTTTAACACTTCAGAGAGAAGCTGCATTGTACATTTCAAGTTGAGATTCTATTGAAATATGGTGAAAATGGCCTCTGTAGACAGGTTTCACTATAAAATTGTAAATTATGCATATATATCTAAATTTCTTATTTTGAAATATTGAATATATGAATATTTAATTAGAATGTTGCTTTAGTATCTTCATATGCTTGCCTTAAAAGAAGTGTTTTCCTTTGATTTATGTACATGGATTTAGAAATGTGTGTATCATACATATCTGTGACTTTTCTGTTCTGGAGATAAACAGCCACAGATACTATTAGATACGGAATTTTATTTTTAAATGTACTTCAGTATGCCACTATAGTCTTCTTTTGAAAAAAAACCAAACAAAACAAAAAGCTTCCTTCTCCAATGTTGAATAATATGTATATTAGCTGCCATGATAATCTATGCACCCTGCATTATTAACAAATAACATATATTTTGGAAGTACTAGCTGTGTCATCCAAGTGATCTTTCCTTGGAAGACACACATATATGTGGACATGTATGCAGGCATATTAAATTTTCTCCTGACATGAGATAACTTTTTGAGACTTATCTTTTAAAAGAGGTATTCATGCTGGCATATTGAGTTCTTATTATGTATAGGCTTAGTGCTTATATCTTTTACATGGATTATTTTTTGTTGATGTTCATTGTGAGATAAGTACTGTTATCTTCATTTTTGGAATGAAGAAACAGAGACTTCAAGATGTTAAGTAACTTGCTCATTGCCACACAGCTGAGGATAAGTGGTGATGCTAGGGATCAGGATTCATTTAGTCTAACTCAATGGCTTTTCTTCATATCCCATTACAGTTTTGTGTGCATGGATGGTATAATGTAGTTTTTAACTAAAGCTTTAAATTTTTTTAAAGAGAATGTAGTTATTTATTTCTACCTTGATAAGTTTAACTTGCAACATATGTTCACTTTGTGTTACATTTAGTCATCTTTCTCAAACAGCAAGCAAGTACTTGAGCTGCTTGAATATTGTGATTTGATTTTTTTTATAATCCTGTGTCCTTGAGCAAAATTACATGTGGAAGAAGAATTTGTGCCTTGGGGGTATTGTGTATTTGCCTTGTGGATGTCCAACACTCAGATCAGATCTTTTGAATCTTAAGCCCAAGGCCATTTCCAGGCCTCTGTTAGGTAGTGATGTTATTATCATGGTCAGACACATACATATTATTAAAAGAATGACTAAGTGCCTGATGCCTAAGCTTTTATAGAATTGACCACAAGCATACTATTATGTATAAGCCTACATATAGTCTTTAATACAAAGTTAAGCATTTTAACATGTGCATAAAAAGGACAAGAAAGTAACCAATTATAATTTTAAACAGTTAATGGTCATTATTTAAAAGATTCTGGGGATCCTTGAAGAATAAGGAAAGATGTTATGAATTAGTGTGAGGTTAAGGGGAAAGGATCTTTCTAATCCTGTTTGGTGTCTGAAGACAGAGGGAAGCCTCCAACCTGAGTTTTTAATACACAAAGCACATCAAAGAACACATGAATTAGAAAGCAGAAGAGTTTGGGGGATGTTGGTATGAGTGCCATAAGTAACTGTATGTGTATGACTGGCAGGCTGCTGTACAAACACTCAGAATTTTTAAGTTAGAAAGATTTTTCAACTAAATAATTAATGTTACATCATAAAATCCTAGAAATGTGATTTAGTAATATGAAACACTATACTAGCTAGGAAGACCATATAATTTATCTTCTAATCCAGGGTAGTTTTGAGAGTAAAAGGTTATACTGTAATATGTAAGGATAGGAGGTGCAAACTGACCTTCCTGGCCAAATGGAAACTATGGTAATATCACAACTTCCTATTGGGCAATTCTTAATAGTCTTGCATAGTGTATATTTAACAGGAATCTTAATTCACATGCAATACCTTTAAGAATGTTTTCTTTTATTATAAAACTGACTTCTATTATGGGCAGCATTTATGTGTTTTTGTGTATGACTTTAGTAAATGGTAACTCTGATGTTTTATAGCTTTTGACACGTATTTTCAAGGTGAAAGTAAAAGGGTATTACTATTGAGAGCAGAAAGTTAAGTATGAAATTTGGTCATAGTTCAGTGGATAGTTCCAAAGTTTTCTTTGTATCAAACATTACAGGGGTTTTTGTGTTTGTTTTGCCTTGTAAATCTTCTAATTAATAGTATGTTTGACATTGTACTGAAAGGTAATCTTATTTGTTGTACCTTCAGAATTTTTAATTTCATCTTGGATGAGCTAGTGGTCTTTTTTTTTTTTTCTTTAAAAGCCATGTTACATGTCACATATGTTGATAAAGCTGGCAGTTTTGCCAAAACATCTTTGGAAACAACTGTGTTTCCTGAAATTCTGTGTGGAAAGATAGAAATCTGTTGATGAGAGTAGCTTAAAATTTTGCATTTTGATAGAATTTTCTTTTTAATTTTTTCCTGATGTATTTTTATCTGACATGGCAAGTTACATTATTAAAGTCATAATTAGATTAAAACATTTTTAATTTATGGCTTTTTGTGTTTAGAGCATACATGACTTGTTAAGTTGAACTAGGTAACTATCATCGTAGCATATTTGTATTTGAATGTGCCTTAAAAAGTTAAAAAATTCTTATGTAATAAATCTTATTCATTCATATGTATAATATCAGAACTTTTTTGTTGTTGTTCAGAAAGGCCTATTATGCATGGTAACAAAGGAAAGAGGTATCCACATATTCTCCCTGAAGTTTGTCACAGTAGAAAGCACTTCCTGAAATACTTAACTACTACACTTGTAAGAGTAATAATATGGCTTATATGTTGGCTCTGAGAGTAGCTTCTTTATAATTATGACAAGTAAAGGTACAGCCAAAGGTCACATTAAACACAAGATTTCTTTCATACCTCATCCATTTTGTGGATAGCATGTGAAATGGTTTAGGTACCTGTATTGATGTTTCAGCAGAGCAACCAAGGTTGTTCTCATGGAATTGTTTCAAGTATCTTTCCCCTTACCTCCCATGCGGTTTCAAAATTTGGCATAAATGTGTATTTGAATTCTGGACTGGTAAAGTAGAACCTTATTAAATTTAGAGTTTGCAAAATAAAACAGGACCTTGTTATACTTCAGGGATTTCTTAGGCCAGTATATAATACCAACATGCAGGAATCTTTAATACTACTATGATGACTGAATGCAAAGTCTCAATATTGACTACCTTAGTATTGATATTGTTCACTGAAACAGTAAAAACCAAACAACATAGAAACAACAACAAAAACAAAATAAAATCACACAAGTTATATAAGCATAGCATGCTTATAAATCTGCAATCTGTGATTAGATCCTATATTTGACTTTAATTTGGCTGTCTAAATAAAAGTTGAAGTATTAACAAAGTCATATAGGAAAACTTTCTATTAAAAATGATTAAGGCCGAATGCTGTGTTGCATGCCTGTAATTCTAGCACTTTGGGAGGCTGAGGCAGGAGGATCACTTGATGTCAGGAGTTTGAGACCAGCCTGAGCAAAGAGAGAGACCCTGCCTCTACCAAAAATAGAAAAATTAGCTGAGTGTGGTGGCCTGCACCTGTAGTCCCAGCTACTTGAAAGGC